AGAATATGCTCCAGAGTATCTTTGCATATACTGTGGTTGAACTCTTGTGATGATATTCTCTAATGGTGAACATTGAGTGGTTTTGCTTTCAAGAGAAGTGTAGAGCGACAATGAGGATATTGGACCTCTTATTCTCTCTCTCTCTGTGGTATTTTAGAGTTTTTGTGGTAACTCTGCTGAACTGGAACCCTTTCCTTGTTTGCCTGTGTTTTGTGTTTACGTTGGATATTGCTGGAATTATCCTGATTGGGATTTGTACCTCATGTTACATTCTTCAGATTTGAGAGGATGAATAGTCTCATTAAGGACTGATAATGGTCCTGTTCTTGGTTTTGTTTTTACGTGGGCTTGGTCTGGTGGTGTATTGTTCTTTTTCTGTGAAATCTCTTTTTTTGTGGTGTGTTCTCTTCTCTTCCGTTTCTTTATGAGTATCTTTATTGACGGTGTGTTTTTACTATGAATTTCTCTTCTTCTGTGGTTCTTTGGATAGTTCATTATACCCCAAGAACAAGAAAGCTAACTCCTGACATGATGTTGTCGCGCCGTTTCTTTTATCTTCTGGCTTTGCTGCTAAGTGTGGCAATTGTCTGTGTGGCGGCTGGTGCCACTAATGATCTTGAGAGAATGGCTGCTGAGCATCAGAAACATGTTGATGAGATTAAGAAAAAGACTGCTGACGTTGAAGCCAAGTTTAATGCTCAGCTTGGTAGTATTCGTACTCCACCTGAAGCTACTCGTATTGCTGCTGATAATGAGAAAGTTCTTCGTGAAGCTGGCATTACGATTTCTGGTGAAAATGGTGGAGCTGCGGAAGCGAAGAGTGAAGGGAAGAATGCAGCCAGCGTCAGTTCTGTGTGGATGAGTGTGTCTCTACTGATTGTGGTTACACTGGCCTGTATTCTTGTATGCTGATTGTGGTGGTGGTGATGGTGTGACTCAGGTCATCCTTTGTTTTCTTTTTCTTTTTTGCATACATCCCTACAGTCTAAATAATCTTTCACCTGTTGAGATTATATTTTTCTTTTTCGTTTCTTAATGTTAATGTGTTTTGTGTGTTGTTTTTGCACTCTGTGTTTATCCTATAATAATTATTATTATTGCTGCTACTCCATTGTGTGTGTACGTTCTTGGAGACTCTGTGATTGGTCTTGCATTGTGATGATGGTGATTATAATGAACTGCCTTTTGCAGTGGGAAAAAGAAATGATTACAGATGAATTTATATTTGTAATTGCTTGTATACACATATAGACTTACACCCATAGTGGATGTATTTATGTATTTACTGTGAAAGTTGGTATCAATTGTTAAAATCTGTTTGTTTTCTTGTGTTTTTTACACAGTCGGGCGTTTTGTCCCTAACTGTTTTGTTGTTCTGCTTCATGCGCAGGAAAAAAGAAAAACAGTAACTGATATACATTTTTATTTATAATTTTATGTACGCTGGCCAACGAATCGAGAGCTAAGTATTTGTGTGTTTCTTACTCATGTTGG